TTCATTATTCGGAGGTCAAACTGAATATACCCAGGGGAAACTGGGAAAACTATAACCCAGGGATATCGCAGGACAGATGCGAAGAGCAGAAAACCACCAGCTTGGTGTGATTCTATAGCCTCCTCAAACACAGCAGCGCTGCTTAACCCCATCATCTTTTAACCATTCCCACGCATCGCAGTTAGTACAGGAAGGCTTATTCTTATTTCCGTCCTGTCGAGAGAGCCCAGAGGAAGACAGAGCCTTCTTCTCTGCCTTTCTTCACCGGCTTCTCCCCACCCCCAAGCGCAGAAAGCAAAGGTTGGCTCTAAGCATTACCTGAGATGCCGCTGAGGTCTCTGATGGTGACCAGGTTGGAGCAGACGTGCTGGTGCCTGTAGATGGACTCGGAGAGAAGGAAATGCAGATTGTGCAGCGGCAGGGTGGAGATGAGGGGCAGCATACCATCCTGATGGGGGATCTGCACCGAGATGTGGATCCTGGAACCGACAGCGCAGGAGAGGGCAGAAACAAGCAGCCCTGGCAGGCACGGGAACCTCCCCGTGACCCCGCGCCCCGCAGCACAGACAGGCTGAGCCTGCTCGGAGCAGCCGCAGAGGGAGTTGCAGCTGCATTTCCCCATCTGCACAGCTGCTCCTGAAGCTGCCCCACCAGCTCCAGGTTCCCAAGGGGAAGGGCACCCCCTCGGCAGAGCAGGCTGCGAGGCAGAGAGGGGCAGCGCTACCCTGAGCGCTCCATGCTCTCTCTTCCAGAGGGCACACTGCCTGGAGGGATGTGCTTTCGGACACCACGCGTCGCCTCCTCTCGGCCCAAGCCCGCTCGCTAACCCCAGGGCTGCGCTCTCCCCTTCTCCAGGCTCATACCTGTTGGGATGCTCCTTGTGCTTGACATCCAAGTACTTGAGAGTGGCAACGAATGACTGCGCCTGCAAACCTCGGGCTGTCCCCGCCACCACAGGAGTGTGACAAATGGCACTCTCTGTGCCTATGGTGACCACCTTGCTTCTCAGAGGGGTCCCCACATGGCCAGCCTTGTCCACAGCCTTGGCCACACAGCGCACGTGGAACCGCCGGCTGAAGTAAATGCTGTCCAGCACCTGCAGGGAACCAGGAGGAGGGAGAAACACAGCAACTGCAACCTCTGACCCTGCGGCAAAATCACTCCCTCCCGCTCTTTTGGGGCAGCACGCAGCCCAGGCACACGCACACGCACACGCAAACCAGGAGTACGTGCGTGCCAACGTCTGCTTGGCCACTCAGGCACGCAGGTGTGATGGGCTGCGTGTGCCCTACGCTGCGGAAGATGCTCCGGCACCTCGGGCACTTCCCAGCTTCCAAACTCTGCCCACCTACTGAAGGGAGGGGCAGAGGGAGCCGGAGCTGGGATGATCTGCCAGGCTCCATCTGTCTCCTGCCACCAGGGATTTACCAAAGCCTCTGAGCTACTGCCCACAGCCACACATGGGGCACTTTTCGCAGGCTCGGAGAGGAGCAGGGCTACAGTTTCTGAAGCCAAAAGAAACCAACGACCCCCAAAGCAGCACCCACCATCACAGAGGACACAGAGCGACAGAGCTGCCCCAAGCCCGCGCCGACTCACGCCCTGCGCTCACCTCGCCACGTACCTTCTGGTTGACGCTGGTGAAGGGGGTGTTGTCAGTGATGGTTTCAAAAGGCGACCTGGCTCCATGCCCATCCGTGGGGGTCGCTACTTCCCAGCTGAACTGGATGGAAGACTGGTTGATGCCCGCCTCGCTGCAGCGCTCCTTCAGGACTGCGTACTTGGGGAAGTGAGGGTCACAGGGAGTGACGCAGATGAGCGGATAGCCTGGAGAAGGGCATTTCTTAGCACCGGCCTTGGTCACTTCTTCCACCCGGTCGTAATCAGCCAGGGTGACGACCTGGAGGGATGTGAGACGGCGGCGTTTGCCGGGGCCTGAGGGGAGGGGCAGAAAAGGCAATCCTTCCCACACGCTCCAAGCCTGCTACAGCACTGCAGCTCTCCCTTTCACTCCACAGACCCCACAGGGGCTTTCGGGCTGCACTCGAAGGCTGCTACATCCCATCCCCTGCAACGGGACACTTACCACGGGAGGTGCTGGTAGAATCAGGCTCCCCGCTGCCTCCTGATCCAGAATAGTCACCGTTGCCGTGCTGGTGTCTCCAAGAACAGCTTCCACTGGATCGTCTGGACCCAGCACCAGAGAAAAGGACTCGTGCCACTCCCGCTCTTCATTGGACATGATCTCCACCTTGAACATACTGTGGTTCACACCTGTGAGGGAAAACGCAAGAGAAACAGAGAGAACGCCATTCATCATCACACGTCGCTCTGAAGTTCTCATAAAAAAACTGCACAGCTGGTCCTGGCTATGACCGCCGAATCCTTACGATAAAATACCCATTACAAATTTCATTTCCAATTGATCAGGTGACAGATTTACTAGCAGATGCCATCTGAGGGTTAATCACGCCCGTCTTGTATGAGCTGTCTGTAGGAAAAAGCCGTGATCCAAAGCACATCCCCACCCCTGCTGTGAGCATCTCTGCTCTCTCGCACACCACAACGCAGAACTGTCTGCTGAGGGCTTCTTGGTCCAGCAACACGGGCTGAGCTGTTGCACTGGATCCTGAAAGACCTCTGTTGAGCCTCACACCTTCTGAAGACCACTTTCCCCTCGCCTGCCACACACTACTGCTTCTTCCTCCCTTCCCATCACCCGTCATTTAACGTTTCAGCCTTTTTGTATAACAGAATTATAGCCATAGCAGAGGGCAAGGCTGCAGCCCAGAAGAGTCATACTTTAAAGAAGACCGGTGTGTTTGAACTGAGAATGATACGGCGACCAGAAGGGGAGAGGGGAAAGGACACGTCTAATGCAAGGAAAGGGGAAAAGTCTTGCACCCCACCTGTGACAAACTGAGGAGCCGGAAAGGTGTTTCCTCCCACACAGATGGTAATGAGCCCAAAATCAAACCCCAAATCAAATCAAACCCATCAAAGTGGCGTTTTCCAAATCTCCTGAGTATTTCCCTTCGGTGCTCCTTTCTGACACACACAAAACATCCCTGGGCATGCCACCACCTCTGCCCTTCCCTCCGAGCACCCTTTACCTGGGCTGAATTGGAGCATCCGACTCTTGGGATAGTAATCCACTCCGGCCTGAGCTGAGCCATCGCGGGTGCTACAGCGGACTTTGGAGGTCCTGTTCTGATCCCCTCTCCGCACCACCTTGATATTTATAACAGCAACACCCTCCGGGCCAGGCGGCTCCCGCACTTGGTACGCGGCTTCTTCAAACTCAATGGTGGGTGCTAAAGAAACGGCAGTGAAGAAGAGGCCCCAGCTCTGCACACCGGCTGACTGCTTCCACATGAAGGGCCTTCAGCAACCGGTGGGAGCTGAGCTCAACTCCTTTTAGACTATCGACACCTCTGCAGAGCGGTGGGCTCCTCACAGCAGGGGCCAAAACGGCAGCTCGAAGGGCTGGATGGGAATTAGGGTGAGGGGAGGGGCAAAACCCAACACGTGTAGTGGGCTACAGAGGACGGCAAATGCTTCTCCCATCCCCTGCCTGTTCAGATGGGACAAGGGGTAATGGTTTCAAACTACAAGAGAATAGATGTAGACCGGGTCAAAGGAGGAAATTATTAACAACGAGGGTGGTGAGACACTGGCCCAGGTTGCCCAGAGAGGTGGCCCATACCCCATCCCTGCAAACATTCCCTGTCAGGTTGGATGAGGCTCTGAGCAACCTCATCTAGTTGGAGATGTCCCTGCCCGTGGCACGGGGGTTGGACTGGAGGTCCCTTCCAACCCACACCATTCGATGACTCTATGAAATTGCCACTCTTACTCAATCCCTCCCTCAAAGCCAGTGCAGTGCACAAAGCCATCGCATCAGTGACCTGCATGCAGAGCTGTGACCACGGGACTGAAGGCATTCACGTGGACTACATTAAACCGTAAACTGTCGAGGAGACCGCGCTGATGACCTTGGAACTGCATCCGATACTACAACTACATCCTGGTTGAGTGTCCTCGCTCACCGTCTTCATCATTGGTGACAGTGATGGTTGCCACATCCATCTTCCCAATCCTAGCTCCGCTCCAATGGCTTCCAAGCGGGCTACCAAGATAGACCTGGAACTGCTCTGCCGCTTCAAAAGCAGAGTCATCACTGATAGAAACACTGCAGTTCTTCACCTAAAGTCAAGTGAGCGGAAGAAAACAGCAAACAGTCATAAATCCCATGAAGCCACTTGAAGGCCACCCTCTACTTCACTCTCTAGGGTTTCGTGTCCGACTACTGCCAATCCTGGAAGAAACACTTCTGGTTTTAAGGCTGCTGCTTCAGTGTGGACAAACCACACAGTTACATGATGACACACAGCAGTGAGGACATCTACTTCCACAAACCCACAGCTTTCTGCTACGATAATCCCGAGTCCTACTGACACAAAGGATTTGCGTTTCATGGTTTAACCAGTTTTAGCGTGAAACAAACAAACCCTTCTGAGTCGTGCCGTATTTCCAGGACCAGAAGAATTTGTGACTTTAAGCGCCTATGAAACCAGTTTGGACAGTCTCTGTCAGCTCCCTCTGGCCATACAGAGTCGAGGAGATCTGAACCTCTCTCATCAATGGTTCTTCGTTCTCCCCATAAGCCAGGGGCAGCTCACCTTCTCCCCTTTCAAGAAGGTGATGCGAGACTCCTCTGCGTTCCTCCTCTCCGCAAAGTCCTCCGTGACCTCTGCTGTCTGGCTCTGGGTGTAGCACCTGACAGAGGACTCGTAGCTCAGGTCCCCGCTGCGGAAGATGGGGATGTGCAGAGTACCCTCCTTCTCCTTCACCGTGTACGTATCCTTGGTGAACTGCATGCTTGGTACTGCAGGAGGTCAGAAAAAGAGTCAAGCAGCGTTGAAGCTCCGCAGGGAGAGCTGATGGAACTTGTTCCTTCCCCATCATTTTGGTGCTGTTGCAACGCCCTGCAGAACAAGACAGGGCTGGCGGCGCAGGGACGGTGTGTTTGTGAGGCACGTCAGGAAGGGATTCTATCAGGACTCGGTACTGAAATAGATGCTGTGTCTCAAAGCGTTATCCTACACTCTGCGCACAGACACAGAACAAATGGCTTGCAGCAAAGAGGACAAACCTCAGCAAAAGATAGAGGCTGAAATGATGATAGACTGCTACAAAGTCAGATTAGACAACGTCTGCTTTCCTTAGGCAAGCAAACACGAGAGACGTGAAAACACAAGAGAAAGTAAACATGCAGTCAGACCTTCTCACATAGTAAGGGGGACTTTCAGCTCGCAGAAAGCGGGAAACAAGGACAGAGCTCTGAGCGGAGGAGGGAAAGCGTGGCTGAAAGTGAGGGAACGCTACAGCAAAATTCGTTCTGCACTTCCGAAGACTCCAAGCTCTTGCGGACAGTGAAGCATGGAAAGAAACAGGGCAGCCAAACGGAATTGGAGGATCCCAGGAAAACAGGCTAAATCCAACCCAGGAATAACCCTACTTGGACGAGCCTCCTGCTGCGTGGAGGTGTTAAGGAAGAGGCGAGGATGGACCGGACAGAGCTGCCACGGATAACTTACCGTCTTGGAAGATGTCATTAATGGCCACGACCGCTTGGAAGGGCTTTGTCAGCTCAGCTCCGTGGGGTGAGCTGAGGTACACAACGAATGTCTCCAGCCCTTCTATCACCGGGTACTGCGCATCGTCCAGGATCGTCAGAGTGCAGAACTAGAAGGAAAGCAGAAGCCTCGCTTTTAGAGACGCAAAGCTTTCATCCTTCCCACCACTCCCATTGGGGTGTCTAATGTGAAGTCATTATGTCAGGCCTTTTCTGAATTCACTGATCAATGGAAACAACGTTCTAGATGAATCTGGCATGTCCTTTCAGAGAACAGGCATCCCTCCTGATCCCGGGAGAGTTGCCCTGACCGAATCTTCTCTGGCTGCAGTGGGGATCAGATGTGACTCTGTGCCCAGCAGATTCATCGGCAATTCTCAAGTGGCCCCGAGAGGATTCTCAAAAGAGGCAAACGGCAAATACAGAGTATGCACATGAACACGAGAAAAGTGTCCTCGGGCAGAGCAGACCCATCAGGAGTCAACGTGGCCTCTCACCTCTTCTGTCTTGCCTGGCCTGAACTCTATTTTTCTGGAGCTGGGGACATAATCGATCCCCGGGCTGGCAGACGGAGGCTCTGACGTCCGAGTGGCACACCACACCGAGACGGGGGTTGAGAGATCAGGTCCCTGTCGCAGGACTGGAATCGCAATGTGTCCTGCATCGCCAGTCGCACAGGAAAGAGAACCAAGCTGAGAAAGCTGCCACGCACCACCGCACCGCTCCTTTCCCTTCAGCACACCCTTCTCCCTTCCCCACGGCTCCTGCACCCAGCACAGGCTACAGCAGAGAACAACCCCCAGCCTTCGCCACAGGGGCAGAGGGAAGAACAGAAACCCTTGGCACATCTCCTGCAGCTCTGCTGCCCTGCCCTAAAGCCCTCCTTGTAAGACCTCTTCCCGGCGAAAGCCTGCTTTCACGCGAAGCCCCCCACCGCGCTGTGGATCAGCCCCGGGGGAGCCCCCGGCTACTCTTCACCTGCAGCCTCGCTGACGGTGAAAGTGGCATTCCCCAGGAACACCGTCGAGGCGTCGTTGGGACCACCGATGAAGACGTTGGCTGAAGCCCGGCTGCCAATGCGGGCGTTATCTGAGGCATCCGCCAGGACAATCTCAAACTCCTCTTCCTCTTCGTATTCGCTGTCATCGATCAGCGCCACATCGCATGTCATCACGGTGACACCCGCACCAAACACAATGCGGCTGTCATCCCCCATCCCCCGGGACTTGAAGTCGCAGCCGGATTCCAGCATATAAAGGCTGCTTCCCTTGGCTGATCTGGGGACAGTGTAGCAGATGGCAGAGACGGTGCTGCTGGCATCCCCTAAGGCGCAACAGAAAGAAAACGTAACGCTGTGGAAATCTTTGTACTCTCTTTGGTGGAGACACCACTCACTTCAATAACTCAGAAGAGGAGGAGTGACAAAGAACACCATCCCAGCTCCTAAACTTGCGTAAAAGCTGGCTTAGGTCTGACTCGCAGGCATGCTCTAAACCCACACTCTTGGTCACTATGATGGGGACATGGGTGGCACTGCCAATTAAAGAGTGTACAGTACAGTATTCTACGAAGTACAGACTAAAAACCCAAGCTCTGGGCAGCCACACACAGTTCACAGCCCGTCCACAGGCGCTTCGCTGCTCTCTGTCCCCAGGTGAGCGTCGGCCGCAGTCTCCAGGGCTCCCCATCCACTCTCTCTGCTGTGTGGGTTCCAACTCGGCACGTCTCGCCCACAGCAGTGCCTGTGGAGCCGCTCGCTGCCCCCCCCGGCCCAACCCACCC